CTTTTTTCTTTAATTGGGATGAAAATGATCTTGGAGCTTCATATTTTTCTCTAACGAATTTATATTGGGATCCCTTTTTGTTATAAATGTCTTATCTTTATCTTTATATCATGTATTTGAATTCCTAAGCTGATTAAACTCTATTTATAAGTTAGAGAAATGCTATATTTGGATACTCAAACACTTACAGCTTTCATTAGTCACATCTATTTTTTACTTTAGTCTTTATTTTTTTTATCTTTGTTACACAATAAGAGACAATTATCTTTCGTCATTTATCTCACTTTACGTGCATGTCATATGACTTAAATTTATAATCTCTTACTTCTAACGAAAAAATATAATCATTGAGTTCTTTAAATCGTTGATTTCACTTTAACTTTATAATTTTTAATTTTACACTTAAATTAAGCACGTCTCTAGCGTAATTAGTATTTCTCTATAAGTTATCTTTTTCGGTTTCCCGCCTGGTATCGAGGCTTCGTTCCGATTAATCCGGATCCGACCCGCGTCGCGCACCTGGAAATGGTGGGTGAGTCTCCTAGTGAAGGCTGCTGCGTTCACAAGGTCTCGAACTCGAGACCTTGTTTAAGCTGGAACAAGTCACTTACCACTTGATCCAACCCTTGTTGGTATAAGTTATTAACTTAATAGGTAACACTTCTACTAGGTGTCCATCTAACATTATCCCTTTTAATTTTAAATTCTTCGAGGCTTTATCCAATAACTACCTTGATTTTCATATAATAATAAGCAATTATGGCAAATTTTAAATTATCAAGATGGCAATGAATAATACTAAATAAGCTAACACTCACTACCTATCAAGCATCTATTCAAACCCCAAATTAAAGACGCGCACACCCTCATAAAAAAACACTCTCATAAATTTGTTATTTATATGATATAAACAATTAATTTTCATGAGTTACTACTCTTTAAAATCTAAATGATAGTATTATTATTAATACTATTATTATTATCTCTTAAAGAATAACTCAATAATTAAGAATTTAAAATTTTAAAGTAAAAATTTCAAGAATCTTAAGTCGGATGAGAAAAGTTAAAGAGCCAAGAAAGTAAATTAGATAGCCTAAATGTAAACACAAAGGTTTGAACTCAAAAGTAAAGAAACTGCATTAATTGGCCCATTGGTTGGGTCGCGCTCCTCCATGAAGAACAGATGGAGTTCACTCACGTTCGACTCTCCCCACTTATTGAACAGATATTAACTTCTAACCATTGTTTCCTTGTAAAAAAAAAAAAAAAAAAAACTGCATTGATTGAAAGTAAATTGACAATCTCTAAAGCACTGTGAAATGGAAAGTGTAGATGAGAGGGGCTTCAAACTAAAAACTAAATTGTGGTTTGCTGAGATTAAGTCATGGTTGGGATTATTATATTTAGTACTTTTTGCTGCAGCCACACTATTTTTAAAAACGTATTTGGTAAAAAGCATATTTTCTGAAAAAAAATGAAGAAGAAGTAATATACACAATAAGACAAAATTATTCATCTTATAAAATTATTTAAATATTTTATATTATTTTTT